AGTGTTCTTTACGTACTCAAATTAGAACTTATAGGGAGCCGACAAGTTCTTCGTGGGATCGACCCAGTACTTACATAATCTATACTTCATTAGATTCGTGCACTTGCGGGTATTTTTAATTGGTTGTTTGCACATTAATTTGTGTCCTTTTAGGAATGCAACAAACTTCTAAAATCATGCACAGGACCTCCCCTAGCCAGGGCCCAATGAACCAAGAGGCACAACCCAAATTTTTTTGAGTTGGGCCATATGTACAAAAAAACAGTGTTTCTATTTAAACCCATCAAATATCTAAAAAGACAATCAATTTGTGTTTCCAAGGAAAAACCAAGTTTACCCCTTCGACATAAGAATTAAAGAAGAAAAGAAAAGAGGCAATCCCAGCAGCCCCATGACCGAGCTTCCACTCCCATCCCCGCCCCCTCCTCTCTCTCTCCCTCACTCTTTCGTTTTGTTATATGAAACTTTTTTTTTTGGTGAAAACCAAGGTATCCCCCGCGCGATTGCGGGGACTAACCCTCGAGGTACTGTCGGGCGCAAAGCGGGGACCTCTCCCAACAAAGTCTGCTCTATTCGCAAGCGCCTGGGATCGAACCCAGGACCTCTTGTTTAAAGGATCCAAGCCCCTTCCACTTGGGATCAAATTTTGTTTTTGTAGTCTGGTTATGGCTTGATTTTTTTTTTTGGGTGAAGTTAGATTTTATTCTGGCTAGAAAAGGAGATGATGAAAACGAAAGATTTTTCAATTGGGTAAGAGAAAGAGAGTGAAGTTTCATATAACAAAACGAAAGATGAGAAATGCAGGTCATGAAGTTTCGTGGCACAGCGCAGAATCAATTACCAGGTCCATACAGATGCAAATTGTTGATGCACTGCGCTTGGGTGAGAGAGGCAAAGCTTCCAATCTGCTTTTGAATCTTGGCCTTGGGAATGATTCGTTAAGAGCTGATGATTTCGTCTATATTCTTAATTACTGTGCAAAGTCACCTGATCCATTGGTAAGCTGAAGAACATGCAATTAGTTGAGACACACACCGTGTGTGCGTGTTTATGTGTCTGATTCTACTACATATTGTATACATTATTTCAGTAGGTTGATTTGTTTAATCACACCATTTAACTTATATGTTTGACATACATAGGATTGAGTTCACATGTGTGTTAGCTGAGATAATGAGAGTTAGTGCATTTGAGTTGTTGATATTTGTGCCTGATTATGGTAATGTAGTTATCAGAACCACCATTAAGGCTTAGTCAGCTGGTAATAGTGAAACTACCTTGTTAGGATTACTGTAGTTATCAGAACCACCATTAAGATGCAACCATACATTTACCATCATTCTTTGTCAGTTGTTAATATTTTCATATTCTTGTGTCCACATGTGTTGCTCTTTGATCAGGCATTTAAGTTGATAAATTTCTTTGATCAGGCATCTATCCAGTTCTACCTATCTACAACAGTTTCTTAAGGGCTTGTGCCAAAATGCAGAGTATAATAAATGCGAATCAGTGTTTGGACTTGATGGAGCGTCAAATGGTGGGGATGGGAAGAATGAAGTTACATATTCAGAGCTTCTCAAGGTATGTAAAGCAAAATGGTTTTGTATTTGTTCAAATATTATTTTGTTCCACTTTTCAAGCACAAAGCCTTTGACTCATCACTTTAACAGTTGTTTTATTTTTTCTAACATAAGAATTGGTTTGGGTGACTCATGTAATGTATTTAGATTACTATTAATCTCGCCATTCATGGCTTCAAATCATTTGTGTTGTAATGCTTCGATGTGCTTGTAAGGGGATAAAAGGATCAGTTTTAATTTCTAAGTGAAACCCCAATTATAGCATTTAACTTTTCAATCAAGAGCAGGTCTGGAACTATCCTGTTTGATTGACATGTTTCTCTTTGATGATGATGATGTGCTGCTCTCTTGAATATTTGCAATGCCCATATGGTGATGTGGATAGTTTTCCTTGTAGTTCACTTTTACCATGCATTTTGTGAAATAGTGACAGTGGACCAATCTATTCTAAAGTTTTTGGGTAATTGATAGTTACTCTGTATTTTCATTTCTTTTAGCTTGCAGTTTGGCAGCAAAACCTGCCTGCGGCCCATGAAATTTGGAAGGATTATATCAAAAACTACAGTCTGAGCATTATTCCTCTACAGAAGTTTATTTGGTCTTTTACTAGGTTGGGAGATTTAAAATCTGCGTATGAGATGTTGCAATATATGGTGGCTTTAGCCATCAGGGGAAACACTTATGTTAATAAAACTTCTGAAGGAAAGTTGTATTCGTCAAGATTAGACATTCCTATACCTTCAACCTGTGAATTAAACTTGAAGAAACTTGATTTGGAGAAGAATAACATTCTGTTCCTTCCATATACTGTGAGAATTTGGATGACCAAGCTGTTAATGCAGATCAGTGCACTACTTTGGTTGGGAGTAGGAGGAGAAGTTTAAAATGTTCAAATGGATATGCTTGATATACATAATAGCCAGCCTGTTATGAAAATTTTGAGATGGTCGTTCAGTGATGTTATTCATGCTTGTGCATGATTAAGAAATGGTGGCTTGGCAGAACAGTTGATCCTACAGGTATAATAACCTTTCTATAGAGGCTTGCGTTGGTTTGTGCAATATATTACAATGTCTGGAATTTTCCTTTCTATGTGCAAATCTTACATATGGTACCTTCACTGAATATGATATTCCTTCTTCTTTTTTTCTGGAAAAGAATGCTAAATGGATATTCTTGTTTGGAGAACAATGTAGTTATAAGCTTCAGAAGTTTAGTTTTGTATGTTTTGATTGTGATGTCTATTTTCGTTGCGGATTTCAACTTTTTGTTTTAGTTATGTGATTCTCTATCCTGCCCTTTATTTATTTTTTTATTTTGTATGAACTTCGTTCAGATATCATCTTATGACATACTAAACGAGCCCATTTTTGTCTAGATGCAAAAATTTGGGTTGCAACCGTCAAGCCATACATATGATGGCTTTGTCACAGCAGTTACTTGATCGGTGCATAAATTACATATCATTTTGTACCCTTTTAACTTATGATTTGGTTATGTTTTTGAGTTAAACTTGTGCTTTTAATCCTTTTTGTGTTTATCTTTCAGTTCATTGAGCTTTAGGTAATAATGATGGCTTTTGAGAGCATAATTCATGCAATTCAAGCATGTTAAGGCCTAATTTGGATGAATGGATGAAGAGCTTAAAGACAAACTCATTTTGGCTACAGCCCCCTGCCAGTCCAGTTCCGTAGGTCATATTGCAAGCTTTGTTTCAACAACCTACATAGCTCGAATGAGGCCACATTGTTCATGAAAGTTGTTCCAATTGGTGTGTACTATAACATATCCAAAATTCAGCCCCATTGGATAAATCTGGAGTCCGTTACCTAGCAAACACAGAACCATGCTCAGGATGGATCTTATCAGCGCGGAAAATGAGTTAGCAATTTGTTTCGGCCTTAACTTCTTCCTCC